ATGTAGGGGCCTAAATGATTACCTGTAGTATTTTAGGGGTTCCTTATTATAATTATAGTATAATGGGCCCCAATAAGGCCCCTACATTAGGGGGATTTTTCTTTCAGAGCGTGATCCTTCTGAGGATGCTGCAGCACAAGCTCCCGGAGGAGATCGTGCACGACATCATCCGCGGCGCGGTGGAGGTGCTCATGGCCTTTCCCTTGGGGTGTTGGTAGGGTTTAAGGTTTAGGGTTTAGGGTTTAGGGTTTAAGGTTTAGGGTTTAGGGTTTAGGGTTTAGGGTAAAGCAGTCTTCATAACTGCTGCAGGCTCCTTTTAAGCATGCTGGATGGCTTGTACTTGGAGGGTTTTGGTAATTAGACTGGGGTTGGTGTGTGTGTGTGTATATGTGTAGTAACCTACATATAGATAGGTAGATAGGTAGGTAGATAGATAGATAGACAGATATATAGATAGATCGATAGATAGATAGATAGATAGATGAATAGATAGATAGATAGATAGATAGATAGATAGATACATAGATAGATGGAAAGGTAGACGGAGAAAGAGAGATAGAGAGAGTCAGGGAGATAGATAGATAGATAGATAGATAGATAGACAGACAGGCACATAGATAGACAGCTTGACAGACAGACCGATAGCCAGACATACAGACAGATAGATAGATATTATTAATCCGTTTCTTGGTATCGCATGCCGATACTATTACGAGTCTTACCCCGAACCCGAAGCTCTAACCCCTAACATGTGTAAGAACATCTCGAAGGCCTAAGGTGTTTAGATTTCACTTTCTGTTGAGCTCTACACACTAAGCCCTGAACTCAAGCGCGGCAGGTGGAGCGCAAGTTCATCTGCGATGCTTTGTCCTGCGACTTAGTCGGCATGAACAAGGCAGGGCGAAACCCTACGCCCCACTGTGATACAGAGGGGACGTGGGAAGGATTGTATGTATAGTTCTGTCAGGGTTTGTTGGTGGTTTTGGTGCGTCTTAGACAGGTTAAAAATCCGAAAGCCTCGTAACAAACCAAATAGAGATCCCGTACAAGCCGAACCCTAAACCCTAAACCCTAAACCCTAAACCCTAAATCACCGAAATGAATACAGTGTCCTAAAGCTCTTAGCCCAGAGAGCCCAAGACCTCCTCAGCGTGGAACGTAGCTTAGCCCGCAGGGGCCTTAAGGTTTTGACTTATGGCATTTTTCATTTTCCTTCTTGTTTAGGTTTAGGGTTTATCCTAAACTCCAAGCCTAAGGAAGGGAGCCTAAACTCTCCCTAAACCCCTCAAGCCCTAAACCCCTGAA